CTAGCACGGCTTAATTTTAACTATTTAATTTAATGTAACTTGCGATGACCGTTGAATATAATTGTGGTGTTCGTATCGGTCAATTTAAGATTATATTTTGTTGCATCCTCTGCATTTCTACTGGGAGGAAACTTCTTACAAATTAATAAGCATATAACTAGTATTGACTGAATAAAGTGTATAATGGTATGTATGTATGAATAAACATATATTAATGATATCTATTGAATTCTTAGGGGGTGTCGGTGGCCGCAACGGTTTAGGCGTTGACACGGCGCTCATCACTGTAAGGTAAAGGTCCCGGGTTCGAATCCAGCGGCTCTGCATTCGAACTCAACAAAATGGGATTTTTTCAAAAACACCGGCACCCCGAGGGTTGATATAACCTCTGCTGTTGCGAACCCTAGTAAAAAAATGAAAAAATAAATCTATTGAATTGATGCCTAGTTGAATTTGGTCCAGTATTATTTTCAAATAAATAGATTTCTAAGTAAATAAATAAAAATGTGTAATTGAGCTTAGAACGTTCGTTAGGTATAAAAGCTTATGTTAGCAGAATTTATTATTCTCACAGATCATTATGAGAAGTCTAACAATAATAGTAACCACTATGCCAAAGCTGGTGATCCGCAAGGCAACATCCTTGGTCCCTTCCCCACACTTCTGTTAACTATACAGTGCCGAACATTTCTATCAATCACGATACAGTACTCCTCACACATGTAGACGATTCCAGCATCTTTTGAAAACCTCCAATACCATATATCCTGTATAGAAGAATGGTTCAAGAAATTGGAAAATTAGCATCAACCAAACCTAATCCCAGAAAATAACCTTCACCATTCGTCGTATCACCTCTCCTCCAATCTAACAAAACTTTGTTCTTTTAAACTTGAAAGAAAAGAATGGAACAGACAATATACTTAAAAGCCTATTTGGCCGCAGATCAAAACTCTCACTATAAAACAAATGCCTCATCTACACATCATTTCTACAACAAATCTAGGTGTATGGATTTGACTATGGGGTTCAACAAAGTGATCACTTTGAATAGAGTTACTTCAGTCCAAAATTCTATGAACCATTGCCCAAGCTACTTCATATCCAACCTTACACACACACACACACACACCTCCAACTCTCATTTGACCTGGATACCACAAGAAGCCGATACAGATGGTTCCATAAAACCCTAGACCCTCGTCCTAACGCTCTAGCCCAACGCTTTCCATCCCAAACTCTTCCCAACAATCCTTTAACATGCACAATAGCCAGCCTCACAATTTTCTTCCTAGTGAGAAAAGTGAATAGTGTTGTGATATTAGTAGATTAGTAATTGATGAATTAACTTATCCACTTATAAACTAATCATATTAATTTAATCATTTCATTTAGAGTAGGGTTGAAAAAATAAATAGTTAATTCTGAACATAATTTTTGAACCCTTTATTTTTATGGTTTGCGATCATAATTTGCACATCCAATTATTCTAACTTTTAAATGAAAATTTAGTGTTTGGACATTTAGGAGAGTATTCGATAAAGGTATTAACAAATTTTCTTTTATGACAATGTATAATAAGGCATACAAACATGCATTAAATTTTGTTTGTTTATTAATTTTTGTTTATGAATTGAATAAATTTGAAAAAGGAAAAACAAACAGTTATAACTACTGACCACTGCCTTGTAGATTACACGTTAAACAAATATAATAAAGTAGAATGTACTACTTAAGTTATTCAAATACTAATAGGTTTATTTCCCATTAGTTTTTTCAAGACTATCTTCCTTCTGGTACATGAACGTGTCCTCTGAGAGTCGATTTCTCTTCTTGTTGATAGCACGATAGCGGCCAGAGTTGGACCGGTAGAATATCTTCTCATTGAACTGCTCCCTCCTGGCAAGCTTCTCTACAGTCTTGTGCCCAAAAAAGTGGTTAAACATCTCTGAAATGTTGTCACTCATCTCGCAGGCACATGCAAAAAAATAATATGCAGAAAACTGAGGTATCTTATCTCTTCAGAGAAAACATAATCTAACTGATAAGAATTGAACTTGTCATTTGAAACGGATGAGAGATACCTTTACAAATATTTGCACTGCACCTACTTGAACTTGTAAAATCTTAACAACACAAAACTCCAACGAATTTATCCTTTTTTGTCAAAAGTTTACAAATATGTGTGTGTTTTTTCCAAATAAGTATTAAAACTTACTTTAGATGTAAAAGTTGCTGTTCCAAATTATTCTTGCATTTTTGTTTACTAAACCAGTAACTATAAGGAAAAGATACGTAAGATTTCATCGGCTCTGGTCTTATAATGAACATATTTGTGGCTATATATTTTATTATCATTTCTACTATTGACAATAATGTTCTCTGTTCTATGATTATTTTATTGGCTAAAGTTGTGCAACAGCATTAATGCATGTGCATTCTATAATGCACATAAGGCTATATATAATAATTTTTTTGATGAGGGTATTTCGACTAAGAGGTTATATGAATCCTCCTGAGAACCATGGAAATGAAAATGATTTAAAAACATTGAATTAAAAAAATTAATAAAATATAATTGGTTACATGTGTACATATTCAATATAAGGTATAGACGTTGGAATTGTGCAATAAAAATTTTATTCAATTTGTTTTCTCTATATTCAGAAGAAATAAGTAATTGGTCTATAGTATATCTAAGTAAATCTCGTGTTAAAGTGTATCCGTATCATCAGTAAATCCAGAAAACAGATCTTTGATATCAATTTAAGCAAACCATTAAACTTTTGAAAAACAAAAGTGGTCTGAGGAATGTTCCTCGAGGAATTCAAAAGAACATAATTTTTTCTCTTTTTTTTTTTAATTTATTTAAAAGAGTATTTCAACCCATCGGGGTGTTGCTGTTTAAAAAAAATATGTAATTTTGTCGGGTTTGAATCCTGGAGGGATGCTGGATTTAAACCAGGGATCTTTACCTTACAGTGATGAGCTCTGGGACAAGACTAAACTGTTGTGACCACTGACGCCCCTTAATAAAATAGCACTATAATTGTGATAATTTAGTCTCTTTTTTTAAATTTCATCTATTGGCTCTCATTTGTACTGTGTATAAGCCAAAACGGATCTAACCACAGAACATAACAGCTTAATATAGAGGCTAGGAAAAGCTCATTTAGGCTCCAAAAACAATTAAATTGGATAGGAACTAAACAATCCGGGTGTACAACTATAATTAACAAAATCAGACACTCATTCATAGAAAATTAAATGGGGACTGACTATATGATGCCGCAAACATTCTTCACATCCTATAAAGTCTCAATGGACTATAAAGGAGAGGAAGAACACAGGACAGTATCAGATACAATGATATGGTATACAGATGGCTCCAAAACAAACAAAGGAACCGGATCGAGCATTTTCTGTACAAGCCCAAAACATGAGCAATCAAACTCATAAGGGAAGTACACTGCGGTCTTTCAAGCAGAAATACATGCCATCAATGTTTGTGCCCTGGAAAATCTTAAAAGAGGTTACACTGGCAAAAAAATCCTCATAAGATCTGATAGCCAAGCAGCCATTAAAACATCAGCATGTAAAAGAATTACATCAAAATTAGTCAGTGAATGCATCCAAAAATCTCCAAAACCTGGGGAAACACAACAATCTGATGATATCTTGGGTGCCAGGGCACAGAGGAATTTTGGGTAATGAAAAAGCAGACAGACTGGCCAGAGGACGACAAAACCAAAGGAGAAGTGGATAAACTCTAGCGGTGCTAGACATAGTAAACTTATGATGAAACAACCCACACCAAGGCTGGCTAAATCACTGCTTCAAGTGGAGAGGGCTAAATTTGGAGGAGTGATAGGACTACTAACCAGTCACTGGCATCTGAGAAAATATCTACACAAAATGGGCATATACATGGAGGAGGAGGAGGAAACAGCCACCCATATCATATTTGAATGCGAAGCAACAGCTCAATGGAGATTCAACCTAACATACAAAAAAAAAACTTAGGGAATGAAATTATAGCAGCGACAGTCAATGACCTGATACTTTTAAGGAAAAGGATAGAGTCTATTGCACAGAATTAAGGAACTAGAAAGGTACAATAAGCCAGAATGCTGCAGTGCATGGAGAGTACAAACCCCGCTTCCTAGTATCCTTATCACCATACCACAACAGCTACCATACAATAGGTTACTGATTGAAGCACATGACTTGGTAACCATAAAGGGAAAATTTTATGACACTTGTCGAACAGTTGCCAAAACATCCTAAATATTGTAGAAATATTGCATGATACAAGGTATTTAAATATCAACATTAAGAAAACATCTCTCACCAGCAGGCTTCTAACAGTGCCCACAATAAATGATGTGAGATGTATAAAATATAACAATAGATATATAATGGAAATATAAACATTGTAGCTTTTGTTTCTTTAGTTTTAAATTTTGGATGGTGGTTGACAGACAAGTTGGTCGGGTGGTTTGCCTGTTATCACCTACCTTATCTTATGCAAAGAAAGTAAGGAGCTAGATTTAACCCATGACCTAAGGTTCAAATGATGAAGTCATATAGGCAAAATACCACACCAAGGCACTACTAAGCATTGGCCAGATGCCATGTATCTAAAACTAGGGGATAAACTAAAAGATGGCATATTGGTTATAAGTAAGACCTTAGTCAGTTATGCAGCTTTAGTATTATGAACAAAAACACTGGATAAGAAGGCCATACAAACTGCAAATTTTACTAGTCTAGTGAACAAAAATGTCCTTATGAATTTCTTCCCCTTTAACCCCATTATTACTTTACTACCATTGTTTCTTACACTACCCCTTTATTAATTTGGTAAATGATACTAATTTGTTGTTGATGTACAATGAAGTGAAATAGAATTATAAAAATTGTAGCTTTTGCTTTTCTAGTTTTAAATTTTGGAGGGCGGTTGACATGTGAGTTAGTTGGTTGGTTTGTCAGTTGTCAAGGTCAAGGAAAGGTATATCCACAGTATTGATAAGTTATCTTCTTAGTTCAGTTTGAAATGTCATTTGCTCCAATTTGAAGTTCTGTTGCTGTTAGTAAGATAATTTTAAAGAAAAACAATGTCACAGAGGGCTAAAGTCATCGATCTGTACAAAACTGTAAGCTAAATAACCACTAGAGCTATTTGACAATGTTCAACTTGTTCTGTATCACTTACAGCTGCTTCACCTTGGAAAGGACTGGCCCCAGGGATCGGACTTCTTTAAGTCCAGGCTGAAGAAAGCCTTCATGAAGAACCGAGACGTATCGGACCCAGAGAAGGTCGAGGCGCTCATCAAGCACGGAGAGTTTGTAAAGAAAGAAATTGAGACGCTCTACATGCTTAAGAAGTACAGGACGATGAAAAGGCGTTACAGCAATAGTGATGTTTAGTCTACTTAGGGTAGTCAGGAAAAGTCAACATACACATGATGATTGTCATGAAACCGATTTCCTAACCATGCAAGAAATGAGCAAAAGTAAATTTCAACTGTCAGTATATTGAAACATTTAGCATTCCATGTGATAACAGTACTATTAAAGACAACGTTACAGAATGTTGAACAGACATAAGGTACTAATTAATTTTTACTAGAGGGTGCAATTACATTCAACAATAAAAAAATAACGCTTCGACAAATCAAACCAGCGAGGATATACAGATCGAAAATGACCAGTAATGACCAAATTTGAGTTTTTAAGTTGCTTACATTTCGTGGCTTTGTAGTATGCTCAGCCGACTGAATTGTGGTTTGCTCTGGGTTAAAACTTAAAATTGAGTTACATTGAGTAAAGCCATCTTTGTACCTAGGTGAATTTTATATTCTTTCTTAATTTTCCTTTCCTTCTTATGCCATCTGTCTCATACAAAGTTTAATTGTTAGTGATATCCAGTTTAAAAAACGCTAAATGACTCAAAAAAGCATATCTTGAAGGGTTTTCTGGGTAGAAACTTTTAACCTTCACCCCTATAATTTTGTTGTTTGTTATACTTACTTTAAGTAAACTTTGTTTCAATTTAAACCAGAATTAATTCAATATTAACAGTAAGGAAATACTTGTGATAACTAGTGCGTTTTGTTATCATAGATAGAAAAAAGTTTGCCAATGTTTAATGATTTGTCTTCTTTTCATATTATCTATGAAGTTTTCACAGGAGGAAAGTTTGTAAAGCTAAATACCATAGCTTAATATAACAATATTATTTTTTTAATTAGAATTTGTGTAAAATAAATTTAATATTGAAATATTTTTATAGATGTATGTGGACTTTTTTACTTGTTGTACATCCATTTCCATTGTGATAAATATAACTTAATTTTATCTATGTATTAATAAATTATTTTCAAAGAATTTGAATTTTTTATCTATTTCCTACTTTTCCAATTATTCGCTATAATATTAATTTATCTATCTAGGTATAAATGAGGCTGTCACAAGGCCTTCCACACCTTGCCCTGAGTAGATCTATTGTCCTTATATATTTTTATAACTAAAATAACTAGTAACTACAACTTTTTCATAGCTAGTGGCGCCTTCATGGAGTGTCTTGCTTGCAACTTTTCTTCTCTAGTTGCAAGAATCTGCACCTATAGAGACCCTCACATGTAATGTACATGGTTTTGTCTTGTTTCAAACAAAGTTGGTTGAGTATAAGTTTAGAATAGTAATTTTTATGATGTCTTTAAAATCTATGATAAATCAACTGACAAGTTCTATTTTTATTTTTCTATTAAAATAATATGGGAGTGAGAATTAGGATGTCAAACAGGAAATAGATATCCAACTATTGCTCATATTTGATATGTACATAGTGTTTTTAACGTTGCAATACTTTTTTCCCTTATTTCTTGTATTTCTACTAAAAAAGCCAAGTTTTTTCATGGCTTTATTGGATATATACTGTTAGAGAAGTTAAGAGAAGAGTCAAGCAAAAGGGACAGGAATTGCATGTATTAGTAGCAGATAAAACGTTAATCAATTGTTCAAAATTTATATTGAATAAATCAGACTCAGAAAATAATTGATTGCCTTGTTTATCCTGGAGATAGGTAGATTTTGTACATACATTGTTCTAGGAAAGCGCTTCCCAAACTTTTTAGCCAGTGGACCCCTTTCACAGAATAAAATCTAGGACAAACCCCTCGCCTTCAAGTATTTAAAATTAGCTACCTATAATACATGTAGTAAATTAAAGTTTTATAAATTAGCCAGTAATTCTTAATTAAGTGATGGAGAGAGTATCACTATGAAAACAAACATTAGATTTATAACTTTAATACTTAACTTTATTTAAAAATTGAATCCAAAAATCTAATTGGACAGAACAGAATCAATAGGTTTCTATAGGAACTTTGAACTTGAGCCCAATTCAAAAGTAATAATTTGAATATTAATAATTAATGAATTAATGGGAAGAATGAGGTTTTTTTAGTGTGCACAATTTGGATATGTTTGGTTTAATATTTGATATCAGGAGACGGATGTCGGGTTCAGCATTTAGGCAGCGTTGGTGTTTAGTTTTGGTGGAATAGATAGAAAATATGGATTTGTGTATGTTTGTGGCAAATAGAAGAAGAATAAGTTTTGCTTTTTAACAAGCGGTTAAAACCATCCCTAAGCTTTTCAGTTGAAGTAAAAAATGGAGTAAACATCGGACTTGAAAGTAGATTTCAAGGTGGAGTCTGAATTAATGTCTATCAATCATTCATATTAACTTTAAAGTAGTATGGTTGGCTTTGTCGAAACTGAAAGCGGTTCTACTACTCATTCATTGACTTGCAGCAGTGCACCTCGAGTTGTAGGGAAATCATGTGCCAGGCCATTCACAAGCTCCAGTTTGTTTCCACGTAAAACTGGATTTTTTTTAAATTTTTTATTTATTTTAAAGTTGAGAATTTTGTCATTAGCATTAAATGTGATACTCTTCCCATGCAAAGAATGACTCATCTCAATCATTTTAACGAAACTATCTGATAAATACAACAATATACATTGCCATTTCTTATCATTGAAAACTTTAGCAAATTTGACATTGTGGTCCATGAACAGAGATAAGATTTCAGAATGAAATTCCTGTAATCGTGAAAGTGCTTTCCTACAAGACAGCCACCTCCCTTCTGTGTGGAGAAGCAGGGAATGATGAAAGCTTCCCATTTGTCACATAATATTGTGAAAAGTCTTGACTTCAGTGGCAGAGTCATAATTAATGATTTGAACAGACCCATTCAAAATATTCTTAAAAGAGGCTGGCATTTGTTTTATAGCTAAAGCATGTCTGTGGAGAACACAATGACTGCTGCTATAAAATAAAAAAACTTTAGTTTTCAGTACTCATTGTTATTAATTCTTTAATTTTATGTATTCATTTATTTTTGAAATGATTAATTTTTCTTGAAGTTCACAGCTGACCCCGTAGTTAGGGTCGGCAGATCACAGTTTGGGAAGCCCTGTACTAGGGTAATAAATGATAAAATGATAAGCATTATAATGATGACAAGGGAGTTGTGGAGAGTCAATAAAAAAAAGACTAAAAGGCAGGAAGTCTGTAAAGATATTAAGGTCAGTGTGAGTTTTAGAATATTAATTTTGATTATGTCTGTAAATCTATGATAAATCAACTGGCAAAATAAATTTTGTATTCTTACTATTAGAATAATATGGGAAGAAGACCAAATTTGGCATATTCAACTATCATTATATATTTTTTGAAATTTCTTGTGTTTCTACTAATAAAGCCAAGCTTTTACAAGGCTTGAAAAGTGGCATAGAAGTTGAAAAAAAAAAGTTTAGACAGTCCTATAACGTTTATGGTCAAGGGATTGTTGAACCACGCATCAAGGGCGATTGTTTTTATAAAAGCTAGTAAGGATGGTTTAGCATATCTATCAAGTTCATTTACTTGACCAAAAAAGGTAGTTTGATTGGTTTCAATAATTCTACCTATTCTCACAGATTTAAGTACTAGGTATGGTCAAACTAGGCGCATCATTTGACAGATTTCTTTCACAAAAAATTGGTTTAATTTCAACTTATATTTAAAGGACAAATACAAATTTTACCTTTTTAAAACACAATTTGTAATGTAGGTTAACGTTAAAAAAAGGATGTTAAAAAAACCCTAACAAACAAAATTTTATGTTCAATTTGTCAATCTTTTGTTGTCTTTTAGTTACTAGATATGACCAAACTAGGTTCATAATTTTACAGGTTTCTTAAATAAAAAAATAAATAATTAAATAAATGGTTTACGTTTAACATGTATTTAAAGGACGAATACAAATTTTAGCTTTTCAAAACTCAATTTGTAATGTAGATTAACGTTAAAAAAAAGGATGTTAAAAAAACCCTAACAAACTACGTTTTATGTTCAATTTTGCCGATCCTTTACTATCTTTTACCTGCTAAATATGATCAAACTAGGTGCATCATTTCACAGATTTCTTTCACAAAAAATTGGTTTACGTTTAACATGTATTTAAAGGACGAATACAAATTTTAGCTTTTTAAAACACAATTTGTAATGTAGGTTAATGTTAAAAAAGGATGTTAAAAAACCCTAACAAACTAAATTTTATGTTCAATTTGCCAATCTTGTGTTATCTTTTAGTTACTAGATATGACTATACTAGGTTCATAATTTTACAGATTTAAAAAAAAAAAAAAAAAAAAAAAAAGGTTTACGTTTAATATGTATTTAAAGGAAGAATACAAATTTTAGCTTTTTAAAATTCAATTTGTAATGTAGGTTAACATTAAAAAAAGGATGTTTAAAAACCCCTACAAACTACGTTTTATGTTCAATTTTTCAGATCCTTTACTACCTTTTACCTACTAAATATGATCAAACTAGGTGCATCATTTGACAGATTTCTTTCACAAAAAATTGGTTTAATTTCAACTTATATTTAAAGGACGAATACAAATTTTAGCTTTTTAAAACTCAATTTGCAATGTAGGTTAACATTAAAAAAAGGATGCTAAAAAACCCTAACAAACTAAATTTTATGTTCAATTTGCCAATCTTGTGTTATCTTTTAGTTACTAGATATGACCATACTAGGTTCATAATTTTACAGATTAAAAAAAAAAAAAAAAATGTTTTACGTGTAACTTGTATTTAAAGGACAAATAAAATTTTTTAGCTTTTTAAAACTCAATTTGTAATGTAGGTTAACGTTAAAAAAAGGATGTTAAAAAAAACCCTAACAAACTAAGTTTTATGTTCAATTTGCCAATCTTTTGTTATCTTTTAGTTACTAGATATGATCAAACTAGATTTTAGAGATTTCTTTCTCACAAAAAAATTGGTTTAAGTTCAACCTATATTTAAAAGACGAATTTCATTTAAGTAGATCAATAAAGTGAAAAGCTCAGGTCGGGCTGTAATGAGGAAGGAAAAACACACTCGGAAACTGGTTTTACTGGATTTTAAACGGGCCTCGAATGGCGGTGGTTCGCATAGTTTCGCTAGACAGGCGCGCAGGTCGCGCAGCAGATATCGAGCGGTTCCACAGGACGAAGAGCCGGCTCAAACCCGTCTCGTCAGCCGGTTGAAGAAAATCAATTTGAAACGTCAAAACGAGGGAGAAAAAAATTTTTATCTCCAGATCCGTTCGATAGCCAAACCCTGACCTGTTGAACCCAAGATGACCTCTTCCTGAAACGGCCTAGTCCCAGGAGAATCGCCGACGGCCCAACAGGCAAGAATAACTTTTTTGGAAATGACCGACACCAAGAGCTTAAATCTGGAGCAGCCGAGATGGGACCAAAGCACATACTTGGGCCGTGCGAAACACTTTTTAACTGTGACAAACCCCCTCAACTTGAGATATTCCGACAAGAAACTGAACGAAGTGCAAGATATCGTCAAAAGACACAGGTAAGTAGATTCCCATATTTTTATAAAATGAGACATTGCAAAAATTAATTTGAAATTAAAATCTTTATTTGTTATAATTAGTTATTTTTACAAACTAGTTGATAATTTTTTATTGGACAGACTGGTGCTTAGCCCATGCTTGTTTTTTCGTAAAGTAATTATCGCAGAAAATTTAACGTGAAAAAATATTTTTAAACTAAAAAGAGCTGTTGCCGAGGTCTGGTCATATGTACACTACAACTGATGCAATAACTTCATAAAATTTGAAAAGAAAACTAAATCAAAATTATTAGAGTTCATTTAAGTCGACAATCGCTGAGAAACTAATTTTTGTTTTTCAAATTTTCTATTTTTAAAACAAAACGGTGTTTTCATAACGATTACTTGAGGAATACACTGAGAAAATTGACAAAATTTTTTTGCACTTAAAAATTTTAGCCCTAGATATTTAAAAAAATCCCTGACAAGCTTGATGTTCAATTTTGCCAGCCTTTGCTGTCGGTTGTTTTAGCTGATTTTGGCTGTTAATAATGTTCGAAGTTTTGCAGCAAGAAAACGCCATAATTCAAAATAGCATTCTGACCACATCGCACATAACGTGACAATACATCTATTGTTTAGGATCTTTTATCCATGGGACCTTGGTTTTCTCAAGGAGCTTCCGTTAGTTCTTCACCGATCCATTGTAGCTATTCAGTTCTCCACATTCAGCAGGTTCTTAGCATCTTCCCTTATGCAAGCGTAGCTTTGGACGCCCTCTCGGACGGATACCATGAAACTTTTCATTTAGAAGTATTTTGGAATCTTCATCGCTCATTCTTGCTACATGATCTGTCTAAATCTTGTCAGCCTTCAAAACCTAATATCAGGCTTCTTACATGGGGAGTAAAGCCATTCGGTTTTGCATAGTCTGAGGTATAAATTCAAAATATTTTTAAAAAAGATCCTTTCCACTTTAAGAGAACTCTTTTTCAAACCAGGAAAACTTTTCAAAACTCTTTAATTATTTAGTTATTGATGACTCAAATAGCATTTGTTTTCAAATTGCTATTATTTGTGGAATATTGGTGGACCATTCATGTTAAAAATCTCTGAGAAACCAAATCTTGCGACCAATCTTGGCACTTTTTTGTTTAAAACGTGTTTTTTTAAATTTGTTTAAAAAATATAGTTTTATTATAACGATTACTTCGCTTTTTAAATCAACTATATTACTCCCACCTTAAGGAAAATAATGCTTGGTTGAACTGTGGTATTAAAACAATCTGCTGAATATCACTTATCGTTGCTGAATCATGACTGGATTAATCACATTCTTTAGCAACAAATCAAACCGTTGTTTTTCCCTTCCAAAAACAGATGACTAAATTGTCAAAAAAAATTTCAATTATCTATGCATTAACTTAATATTTAAAATAGTTTTCAAATATGCCGATTGAATTTCTTAAAAAAACTATTAGACAATATATAAAAAAAAAAAAAAAAAAAAAAAAAAAAAAAAAAAAAAAAAAAAAAAAAAAAAAAAAAAAAAAAAAAAAAAAAACAGTACACTAAACATAATTTCAATAGTAAGACATTATTGTATTTTAAATTAGACTACTTTTCACTTGACGTGGTAACTATATGTTGATCTGAATGATCGAATTATAAAGTTATAGTTGGGTCGAAAGTGAAAGTATGAGGGGTTTAATGTTCAAATTTGTTTTTCTTTCTATATTACCAGTTACACAATTTATTTAATTCCAAATGTGTTTTTCTTTCTTAAATCGCCTTGAACTTTCTATTTCATGCATTGTTGACACTACGGTTTTTCGCCTTCATATGTACTGTTTCAACGTATCTGTTATGAAAGAGTAAAAGTAAGATGAATTCCACATGAGGTGAAAGTTTATTTAGTTACTTTTATGCGTGAGCATAGCCCGAAAGCGGGGTTTGATAACTTAAACTTCTCACTCAAAATTATTCTTTTCTCGAGTGTCACAACGAACTCAATCTCTCACGTGTCGTCGCATTATTTTTAGCCTTTTGGCACATACCGAAAAGAATAATTAGCGAGATTGAATTCGGCCCCAGTAGGAAGAAAAGGAGGCCGACGACCCCCAGCCGTTTAGAAAACGCGACGAAATGATCGGATATCCTCATTCGGCCAGTTGCAATTTTCCGACTGACGATTATTGGTTTAAATTGCTAAACCATCGAGTTCAAATTGAACAGAGTTAAGGTCAAACAACCCGTTATTCTTTGACTAACCCAAAATTTTGTAAATTCATTGGTCGATGTGGTAAGGCATCGACCCAACGTGCTCTAGCATAGAACGTTAAGTAATAAATAACTCCATCCAATTCAAAACAAAGTGGTCAATTTTATAGCAAGATTAATAAAGGATCTTTTTTAAAAGTGAAGAAATCTGAAGTCGGATAAAGCACTAACGAGAAAATATGGATTTAAATTATTTTTCGTTCTTTACGAAACAGAAAAAAAAGAGATGTTTAATAAACAAGCAAGGCCAATGTCTTTATTGAATTGAGAGATTGTTAACAATATAAGAATGATGTTTTGATTTCGACTGAGTTTATAAACAAAAAATAAAGATGGGATTAAAATTGTTTTGATGTATAGTATTTGCATTCCCAAATAAAAACGTTTGTTTTTTTTGTTAATGTTTTCACTTTCTTTTCGTTTATTACAGTCCCTTGACTGATTTTTTGACACAGCATGTAATGTATTGTATACAGTGTCCTTTACAGATGACCCGGCTGAATTTCTTTTGTGCCAATGACGCTGTAAAAAAAAACCTTTTTTTGAGAAAAATTATACAAAGTACCTCAGGCTCAGCTCAACTTTAAAATTTCAAATACGACCCAGTACATCCTGACACATCGTTTTAAAGAATTTTTTACCCTGAAAACAATGGTGCGAGTCGGATTTTAAATTGGTCAAAAAATGACATTTCATTTGATTTGCTATTTATTAATCACATTTAACAGGACCTCATGGCGAACTGCAGCAAAGGTCAATCTATTTCCCCTGACCCTATCGCTCTGAGCACCGGTGAAGAGTGGTTAAAAAGAGCAAATCTTTGGATCTTTAAGCAAGGCAGGCAGTTAGAATATGAAATGTGATTAACAAATAGCAAACCAAATGACACGTAATTTTTTGACCAATTTAAAATCCGATTGCACCATTGTTTTCAGCGTATAAAATTCTTTAAAATGATGTGTCAGGATGGATAGGGTCGTATTTGAAATTTTGAAGTAGAACTGGGCCTGAGGTACGCTGTAAAATTTTTCTCAAAAATAAGGTAAAACTTTGAAACTAGACTAAAAAATATTAAACACATATTTTTTTTTTTTATAGCGTCATAATTCAAGAGAAATTCAGCCGGGCAATCAAAAAAGGACACCCTGTATAGTGCTTGACAGATATCTCGTTTTGTGTATATCGTTTTGGTGTGTATTAAAGTAGAAAGTATTTATTAAGCATAAATGTGTAATGTTATAGAGCCTACACCATCGTACACCATCAACCCTCAATGAGATTAGTTATATCTATGGTACTTTTCTGTTCTAATTTTTAAAGAAAACATGGTTTATTGTTATTACATGGATATCTCGTTTTGTGTTTCTTTTTTGGGTATTTTGAGGTTTAAATGTATTCATTAGCATGAATGCGTAATGTGAGAGTCTTTGGTGGAATATTGAGTACACCATCAGCCCTCAATGAGATTAGTTATATCTATGGTACTTTCCGGTTCTGATTTTTAAAGAAAACATGGTTTATTGTTATTAGATGGATATCTCGTTTTATGTTTCTTTTTTGGGTATTTTGAGGTTAAATGTATTTATTAGCATGAATGCGTAATTTGAGAGAGCCTTTGGTGGAATTTTGAATACACCATCGATCCTCAATTAAATTAGTTATACAGTATGTGTAAAAGTTGATGGAGAAAAATCGAGTACTAATTCCACCCTACTTGAGTAAATTGTATGTAGAAAATAATGAGTGAGCGTTTAAGTGTGTCTACGTTTTTAAACTATATGTGTTGGGGGTAGAAATGGTTGAGCTGTTGACAGCCCCAATGCCTAAGTTCATCGGCGGGACGGATAAGACCGAGGTTTAACCCCGAACTCTTAAAACCAGTAGTAAACCAAAAATAATACCAAAACTGAATATAACCAAAGTTGTTCGATAATAGAATAACGCTGGGTCACTGGACCTGCCTTTCTGCAATGACGTAGGTTGAATTTGTGTCCTGAGGAAGGCCAAATATAGAACAGAAAGCTAGTGAAATGTTATAACATTGTGTTGGATTAATTTGAGGACAACAAACCAGTTAATCTCAAAATAGTGTAAAACAGAAAGAAAATGGTTCAACCGAAGGGGTAAGGTGGGCGCCATTAATTATCCTAAGAGCACTTAAAAATCCAACTATTAAAAGAACAATAGAAAACAATCGCCTGTCTGAATATTTCCCCATATCCAGTGGTTTTATTAGATATATTTTTATACCCTGACCAACTGCAGAAGATAGAGAAATGGCGAAATGCATCTGTCGTTTAACCTATTATTTTGGTTTTTATTATTAAAATTGTGAATCATTTCTTTAATAACTTTTTTTGAACGACGTATTTATTATTTTCCAGAGGTTTTAAATTTTTAATTATTTTGTATTAAGTTAAGAGTTACATTGTGGAACCAGTTTTTTTTCTGGTTTATGTAATTTTATATAAGAGATTGCTTATCTGTAAAATCCGACAGCAAATTCGGTCCCACGTTAATGATGCCAGCAAACCCTCTATAAACGCTGTAAATTACGCAACTTGAAATAATAGTAATTGTGGGCGATTGTTACTAGATTTATTAATTATCTAATGATTCCTTGTTTATAAAAATCAATATAATGAGATCTTAGCGATTCGATAAAAGTGATACAATTCTCATTTAGAATAATTTATGGTTTCAAAATGAAATTAGAGAATCGTCTCAGAAATATAAGAAATATAATAGGAGAGCAAGTATGACGTTTTACTTATTCAGATGTGATGTTTGGTACAATAGAAAAGATTCTCAAATTTTAAAATGTTTGGTGACGTGTCGAGTGGAAAAACGTATTCATCGCGAGGCCTTTCTCCAACTATTTATTGAAAATATTCATTAATTAAAAAACCTTCTTGAATTGAAAAAATAAACTGTGGCTGGTCAAAATTCAATTGTCTGTCTCAAATTCACAACGATCCTAATTTCTACTTTTATATTTTAAATGGTGAGATTTCTTCTTGAGGTCTGCAAGGTGATGAATCTTTAGTTTGATCGTTAATGAACATTCTTGTCCGCATATCCTCGCTGTTTTAGTATATGAGACGTACAATAATTCGACTTGTCACAAAAGCAACTTTGTCAGTCAAGTTCAGTCGTGTTTCTGTTAGGATCTCACCCTGTTTGTACCCTGACCTACCACTGCAGATGGCATAATGGTGCATCGCATTTCACAGATGAAAAGAAAGAGGATAGGAAAACCGGAATCATCAGAAAAAAACAAACTGCGGGTTTATATTTAAACGAAGCTACATCTAACCAGGAAGAATAGATCATAGAATCGCTACTAAAGTACAGATTTATCTACATTATATTTAGTGAGGTTTGCTAATTCATGATACACATAAATAGCAAAGATAATAAGATCAGAATCATCGTAAACGACCAAACAGATTTATTTTTTGGTGGGCTCAACAAATCAAAGTAGCGCTTATTTAAAAAAAAGAACTTCAGAATTATTGGCATCTAATAAATTACCAATTTATATTTTGATGATGTCTACTAGGTGATAACCAAAACTGCGTGAATTAGAAAGCTAGAATGACCAGAAACGACCAAACTACAGGTTGACTAATTTATATTTCGACCTCAACAGTTTAACTTATGATGTTTCCTTCTTGAAGGTGGGATACTAGGTCATCTCAAAAAAACCACAACCAGTTTTTATCCACAACGTTTCGGATTTATTTTAATCCTTCATCAGGTGAGTGAACGCAATGGTTAAAACAGTGGTCGTCAGTCATTAATATTTTATAACAGTTTATTTTAAAAAAGAGCCAGTGTGGTACATATTTAAGTCTTTCAGACAACGAAAAAACGTTTTAATATTTTGAACCTGACTAGACTAGCTATTTTTTAAAATAAACTGTTATAAAATATTAATGACTGACGACCATTGTTTTAACCATTGCGATAACTCACCTGAGGAAGGATTAAAATAAATCCGAAATGCTGTGGGTAAAAACTGGTTGTGGTTTTTTTGAGATGACCTATTATCCCACCTTTAAGAAGGAAAAATCATAAGGTTGACTAACTATTTTGTTGAGGTTGACAAAGTTTAGTTGTTTATGAACATTCTGGTCCACATATCTTCACAGTTTAAGTCCCGTGAAACGCGTTTCGGCTTTTACATGAGTTCAGTTATGTGCTTCTGTTCATAATATGAAGTATCATAATGAAGTAACAAGTTGTGACTTTGTTAGTTATTCCGCCGACACCTGTTTGTGTATTGCTCCTTTTATAATTAAAAGTATTGTTCACGTTACTGCTCTTTTTATTGTTCCCGACAATAATATCTGCTAGGTGACCTACCTGCTGTTGCCAAAATCATTGGAAATGACTAAACTACTAATCATAACGTAAGAAGAATAATATGTAAAGGACCAAATTATTTATTTTGGAGAGATATACAAGGTAGAGATGATTGACCAAAACAGCTAGAACCAGAATGATAGACAACAGTAAAACTACAAATTTATATTTTAGTAAGGTCTGCTAGGTGATGACAGACAAAATCAGCAATGATAGGAAAGCAGGTATGGTCAAAGATGACCAAACTGCTCATTTAGATTTAAATCTCTTCTTTTCTTTTTCAAACAACTTGCAAAGCCAAATTTTGTTATAATACCATTTTTAATTGTTATTATTTTTTCATTTCAGATCGGGAGAACCTCAAAAAACCAAACTTACTGTAGATGAGCTATGGAAGGCAAAGCACATCTACGATTCTGCATTCCATCCTGTAACCGGTGAGAAGACATTCATCCTTGGACGTATGTCTGCTCAAGTACCCATGAATATGATCATTACAGGAAGCATGATGACGTTTTACAAGTACTTTATATGATTTCCTCCATACAATTCAAGAATTAATATATGGATTTATTTTAAAATTAGATCTACCCCCGCTGTTGTTTTTTGGCAATGGATTAATCAGTCTTTCAATGCTCTAGTCAATTACTGCAACAGAAGCGATGCAGACATGCCTGTTTCGTAAGAAATATATGATTTATTTTTTAAGATTAAAAAAAATTAAATTACAAGGTATGGAAATTGTGCTATAGCCAAATTGCTACGTCATACATGGTAGCAACTACAGGGGCTGTTGGGTCTGCTGTCGCTTTAAACAGGATGGTCAAGGTGAGGGCGCGTCTTCTGAATTTTAAATGGGTATCAGTTTAACAAGAATTATTTACAGAAAATGTCACCAATTATCGGACGATTTGTACCATTTGCAGCTGTTGCAACGGCCAACTGTGTCAATATTCCAGCCATGAGACAGAAGTAAGAAATAAGTTGAAAACTTTATTTTTATTAACACTCTGGGACTGTTTTAAAAATTTATTATTAAATATTTATATAAGTGAACAAATCTCTACACAGTTTAGAGTTGGTGAATAGAGTAGAAGAAAAGTAATTGTATGATAAAAATATTCCACAACCTGTTTAACTTAAGCAGTTTAAAGATTTTAAAGCCCATGAAGTTTTGTGCACAGCTCATGTAAAAAATCACAAAAGAATGAACTGTTACCGGTTATAATGTTTCAAATATTCATATTTTTTGAAGAAATAATTTTAATTTTTTAAAATTTATATCAAGTTTTTCGCAACTGCTAGATTATATTTATTTTATATCCAACTATAAAATCTCAAAAGTGACGATTATTAAATTGAATGAAACAATTATTAAATTGGTTGAGACAATTAATAAATTGGTTGAAAAAATTATTAATTTGAGTGAAAAATGCTGAAAGTTATGAAAGTGTGTCGGGTGTTACAAATCAGCAGTCAGGTGAGGTCCAATCAACCGACTTGTTTTACTTAGTCAAATCAATCATATTTATTTACTTTTTTAATGAAAATTTATGTAAATTGGATTTGAAGCTTTCTAGTGGTTTAATACTCTTCCACTTTTCAGGGAGCTTACAGAAGGAATTAAAGTATTTGATGCCAATAACAATGTTATCGGATACTCAAAGGCAGCCGCATTCCAAGCAACAACATCCGTTGTGATAAGCAGGATATTAATGGCAGCCCCATCTATGGGTAATTTTTCATTTTCTCAAATTGGTCTCTCAATTGTGACTGATTTAACAATAATTTTCAGCAATCACCCCAGTCGTAATGAATATTTGCGAGAACAAAGGATTGTTCAAAGGAAAACCATTTTTGGAACCGGTTGTGACCGTAGGTCTTACCGGTCTCATTTTAGCTGTGGCTACTCCTCTCGCCTGTGCCCTCTTCGTACAAATGGCCCCAATAAAAGTAGACAAATTGGAAGATGATCTTAAGGTTTGCATAAAATACTTTAATTGTTTGAAACATCAAACTTGATTGAAATATCTGTTTCAGGAAAAAGTAAAGAAAGCCTGCCCAGGGGCCACAGTTTTATATTATAACAAAGGGCTGTAAAAATTCTTCGCAGTATACGATAGTAAAAGATGGCTACACTAAACCATAAAACTGAAAATGACAATAAGAAGTGTATTATAAGAGAAAACTAGAAAAATATTAAGTCGTTCATTGTAAAATTATCAAATGAGGAGGTCCATGCAAGAAGGGCCTATGTGGCAAAACCATATGTTGAGAAATTGTAGTAACTGTAGTCATGATAAGTCATTAAGATAAAAGATTGCATACATCCATTTTAAGCATTTTTCGTCTTGAGGAAAGCACATTACAGTTGTGATTATATTCTAAATAGAAAATATGACTGGAAACATTTAGTGAAGATAAACGCCCCACCATTCCTTCTTTTTTTAATAGTAAAGTGTGTTCAATTGAAGTATTGAGTTTCATTTTTAGGGGCTTCCCAGTACAATTTTTCAAGTAAATTTTAAATGCTTTGAAAATGTCTTTGATTGTCAACTTTGGGATGTTTAAATACATTCTTTTAGAGCAGTTTTGTAAAGTGTAGTGGTTAGAGTGGTGACTTCAGGTGCTCTAACGCAAGTTGTCTAACTTTTTATGATTAATGCGCTTGTCTCTTCATTGAATGAAGGAACAAAATACTTTATAAAATTTTAAACAGGTGGATGATAAAAGACATGTTTCAACAATGTGGCCTTGTCCTCTAGGGAATGAATACCTTCTTACATGAACACGCTCTTGTTTAGAATACAGATGAAATTGTTCCTCCATGTTGCTTTAAGTTTCTCCATTACTCTAAGTTGTACATTTAGAAACATTTCCTTACAATTTTTTTTCACAAATGAAAATGTTATTTTACAACAATATCTGTACTTATAGACTTATAAAATTCCCATCTTCTCATGTCCATTTTTTCCCCTTTGAACACTTATATTTGCCGCTACTCTATATAGTTTTCACCACTTTCAAGTTTCATTATCATATTAATAAATCACAGAAGATAAAAAATATATTTCAAGATAGAATGTAAACTTGGCACCTAATTAAATATAAACATGACGGATCCATTTCTGCATTCATCCCAAAAGTGCCCATGGACCATAAACAGATCTCCTCATAATTATAATAGAAAATCTAATATATCCGTACTCTGCCATGACTATTCTTAAAACAAAAATTGAATAAGTAGGCTTTTTAATTTTAATTTTGAAAACTATTACTGTTCATAGTATAAATTATTGTAAAGTTGTTACCATTATATATTACCATTTTAATACATATATTTTTTTATATGACTTTATTAACAAGTGCAAAATGACTTGTGGAAATTATGTGTCTGATGAGCCTTTTCAACGATGAAATAAGAGTAAAATTCCTTTTAATTATAAAATTGAATTATTTGTGATATGATATTTATCAATTGATGTATCTTCCTTTGTTTTTGTAATCTGGTGATTAGTTATGTGTTCTGTTTCTCAAAACATACACATCAGGTTAACAATGTTCATGGAATTTGTTATATTGAAAATACATGATTTAAAAAAAAAAAAATAGTCAAGATTATTTGGAAAGTAATTATAATTCATCAAATTAAACGATGAAAACAGTAATTTTAAACATACCTTATTCTTGGTAATGGCCCACTGCTTCAGAGCGAAGTGCGGCGAGTTCTTGGAAGTCAGACAATCTGGTGTCCCACAGGAAGCATTCTCGGTCCTATCCTTTATATCATCTATACTGCTGACCTGTCTGCACACCCCAAGATCATAATCACACCTACATGGACAATATTACAATTTTGTCCTCTAACTCGACCCCTATGCAAGCTACCTCCCACATTCAAGAACACCTTAAGTTTATCAAAGACTGGTACAATGTTTTTTTATTTTAAACCTCTCCATAAAGTGATGAGCGTCGTGTCAACACTTAACTGTTGCAGCCGAAGCCCCTTAAGTAAAAGTGAAGATTTTTAGAACGGTGAATTGTGTAAAAAAGCCAGGATGGAGGCCAGATTTAAGTTTTCTAAATAGATAGACTTTTGTAAATAAATATTTTTTCAAGAGATTTAGCTAGGCTAGAGATGATAGGTGTTATCAGAGGTTTAAAGGCCTACATTTTGATCTAGCCTAATATCTAGGTTGAACACAAAGTTTGGAATCTGAAATCTGTGCAATAGAACTCTGCACTCAAAACGAGATTAAAAGGTGCACAGATATCCATATTCTCATACTGCCAAGAATTACTGAAGGCTTTAAACTCCACCTTCAACAAAAAACTTGTCTGGAGTGTTTAACATACATCTCCAGTTTCTGGAAAAAATGCAATCAGGTACCTCTGATGTGGACACCAAAGCACAGTGGGATTGACAGCAACTAATAAAAACAGGAGCACCCCTCACTTCTTTTGGACCAGAACCGCAAATTGGCATGATCGAAGGCCTACTAAAAGTGTTACTGAACAAATGAATGGTGATAGAAATTATCATATAATGATGAACTCATCATTTCATTCACCAGCAAAGCAACCTAAGAACTCAACATTTCAACGAGGAAAACAAAACTCTACCTCTACCTATGAAGGAAAATATTTATTCTAGCCACTACCTACACAAGTATCACCTCAAAAAATGAGAAAAATAGACAGAAACCTGCAGACTTTGAAACAGTGGAGTTCTCTGAGACTGTACAGCATTAGCTTAGAAACGGTACAGCCTCTTCAGAAAGACAATATCAACGCCTAAAGAAATAAGCAAAGAAGAACCTATAAAAGTGCCAAAACTAGTGTGGTAGTGCACGTTTTGGTTAGAAAATAAAGAAAGGTCAATTGCACAATAGATCTTTTAGGTCGCAGTGGAAGAAGGTAAATTTTGGTCAGTAGTGACCCTGAAGGAGGGAAAAAATTTCATGAGTTGACCAACCAAATGCAGGGAAAATTCAAAATAGTGAAAGCTGGTCATATGGAAAACCTTGATATTGACACTGACTCATGCACTCAAAAAATGAACAACAAAACTACAAGTTCCCAGATCAAATTCTAAACGAAACTGCTGGAAACGTGCATAATATAAATCATTAGCAACGTTTTACCCAAAATGTTTTTTTCCGCTCTGGAAGTCGTGACGTTCTAGGACGACGATCGTCGTCAAACAGTCGGAAAGTTGAGAAACGGCCTTGAGCCGGGAGAAGTGGACTCCCGACAGCTGGTAACACAATAGTCGATCTCATAAGACATTAATTTCATTAGTTACTTGTCATGCCAGCGTGTTTATCGAAGGTGGGCGGCGGCTGCATGCTACCTGCAGTAGCTGCTTCTGCACTGCCCTGCATCGGCGGTTGGGCCGGCAGCTACGCCGTCAGGCATAACTATTCCGGCTGGTACACGGTATATAATCATGTTTTTTCAATTTACGCATTTTTCCAAGCCTAACCCGGCGTTAAACTATATATAGATTAATTTTAATTTTTTTATTACAATTTATATGATAGAAATGTATTTTATGACCAAAAACAGCGATTTTATTCCAAGAAAAGTATTTTTTTACAAAAGCTCATGTCTGTCCTGGGAGCTAAAGAATAACCTTCCGCATGTCTATAGATATATAGCCATGTAGATATTCATTTATTTACATAATTATGTACAATATAGTGTAAATGTACCTAAATTCCTGCATTGTAGTTTTTGTTGCAATATACTACAAGAATATAATAACAATAATGAATAAGTCCATTAGGTTGATGGAGGAATACCCAGTACTGACTAATCAGAATGAGTGCAATGCATGAATGTATTTATATGTGCGACTGTCTTATCTAATCTAATTAGTATTAGGCTAGATTACAGTTTGCATGCGCTTGGGACTTAAGTAAGTGATGATCTCCTGGGCATCTGGCTTAAAGGGTATATTAGCGACCCAGCCACTTAATGGGGATGGGTGAACACCCTAATGTATAGACCCAAGGGTCAGTACATCGGAGAGTGACAACCTTTTGGGGTGAAAGTCCGAATAAGTTCATTAAAACAGCCACCTCTTCACTCTCATCTGGCTGCAGGTACTTCAACTGTACTTGCAGAATTCAAAAACATAGTACATAGTAGCATATCTGATGTATTCCCATCATTCGATATTTCGACTTGCCACTGCATGTAGTTTTGATGAGTCTATATCAGAAAGAAATATCAATAACTTTTAAACGTGAAAGTGCAATTGAGAAATGCACCCAACACATTTAGACAGAGGATATAAAACCAAAGACATAGCTATCGTGTTAGATAGCCAGGCAGTCATCAGATCACAGCCTGAGAATGGCGCTGAATTGCAAAACCAAACAGGTTAGGTGTGCAAAATAAAATCATACTCTGCTGGGTCCCAAGTCATGCAGGAGTAAAGGAAAACAAAAAAATGACCTTGCAAGGAAAGGGGCTGATAGATCCTGAACCGTGTTATCCATACTATCAGCAAGTATCTTAAGAGATAAAACATGGTGAATGTGAGGAAATGATGTATTCACTCTCTAAAACCTTTTGGCAAGATTTGGAAAGAAACAATACATGCATCAAAGGAAGCAGAAATAGACTCTGAAGCCTAACAGGACATTTTACAAAAACACTGGACCTCTGGGGGTTCATAAAACTTGCCAGAGTGAAATCATCTCTGATTATCCTGGTCACTTTTGTAACATTTCACTATCAGGGATCGGGTTGATACTCTTTGTTACCTAGTTACATGTGCCTATTTATTTTCTTTTTCTTTTAACAAGGGTATTTCAACTACGAATGCCGGTGTTTTAAAAAAAAAATGTATGTCAGATTCAAATGCAGGGCTGTTGGATTTGAACCCGGGACCTTTACAGCTATGAACACCATATCAACGCCTTAACCATTGTGGCAACTTATGCTCCCATGTGCCTATTTATATATTAAAAAGGAAAAAAATAGATATCTGTGGCCATTTCATTTGTCGTCGAGAATCCAATCCGATTACACGACATTTGAAAAATGGCAAAAAGGAGGGAAAACTCATAAGGTGGGGTTGAGATAGGAAGTTGATGTCCGAGAGGATCGAGGTCACGATAGCTCAAGTGGTAGAGCAGCGGCGTATGTAGCCGAAGATCTTGGGTTCGAATCCCGCTCTTGCCATTGACTTTTTTCATCTCAACTAAAAACCTTAATTAATTGTAATGTATTAATTGGTCAAGCGGACCACGAAATTAGTGAATTTTGGCATATGATGCTCCACAATCTCCACTTGTTAAAAAAATGCTCGGCATTTTTAATATCTCAAGAGGTCCGAAGTCGTCGAATGTAATATACAATATGCTGAAAGTGCCTTTAATCAGTTCTCTAGGAATATAAATGACGATAGTTTGTAGAAATCATGTAATATCTCAAGATTATTTGTTCAAGAAAGAACCAAATTCATTAACTTCTTAATTACTCAAAAATCACTCAAGCTAATCTGCTAATTAATACAGGTGTAATTTACATAGTTATTTATTGCAGGATTTTTTCTTGAATCCCAACGTTGCATGTTATTGTTGACCAAGTCGTATTCAAATCATAAGAAGAATATGCAAAATCTATATAGAATTGGATGGACCCTCACATTATCCAGCATTTCGATCAAAATTCATGTTATCTTCCTTTAGATTATCATTTATTACATTTGTCAATCTTTGGCTGAAAAAGAAAAAAAATTAAATGTGATATTCTTCTAGAGGGTGGTGAACTTTGGGCATTTCTGTTCATTCCAGTCACACTTTTTTTAAAATGAAACTTGGAATTTGTTGTAAAATTATTATTATATAATAACTAGATGTAGATGTGTTAGTGGGGGTGTGTATTACACTGCGCCCTTTAAGAGATATTGTATCCCCTGTTCTGTGGTTAAAGCACAGCAAGTCCTAGTTCATGAAGTAACTTGATTAGTAGGCCTGGTTTCAGTGGTTTAATCTCTTCTATGGTTACGCTTATGTCCTAAAACTTCTCCTGCGGGTAAGTGTATCGCCACATTGTGTTAATATTGGTGTGGCCTCTGCTTCTTTGCACATGCCATGTTGGGTTATGCCAATCTTCTTCAGAGTCGATTTAGTTAGTGTTCTGTCAAGAATATTGCTAGGATTCACAGTTTTTGCCTGTTTCATTTAATGAATTCTGTTACCTCATTCCTTCCAAGTTTGTTAAGAGGTTCTTGGATTGTTTGTGTCCAGTGATCGAGTTCCATTGTTTCTTCAGCCACAAAAGGTCTTGGGTCTTATCAGCAGCCCCTCTTCTTGCAAGGGCATCAGTTTTCTCGTTTCCTTCTACTCCCACATGTCCTGGAGTCCTGGGACCCAGCAGAGGCTTACTTTGTTTTGCATACCTAATTTGTTTAGTGTGGTTTATATAATAATTACAGAATAATGTTAATCTGATAATGTTATGATATTGAAAATTCATAAGTCATAGTGGTTAATGGATAGGTATTGATGGATGTGCCGTTGTCACTTTTCCTATTTAACTTTATTATTTTGGATAATTGATATCAGCCTTTAATATTATAATTTTGTATTAGCAAATCAAGGATAAGGACAAATAGAATTCTTTCTTAAGAAAAGAATTCTTTCTTCGTAAAGAAAATTTACTTCATCAAGCTTTCGAGTTATTTATCCCCTTAAATCAGGATTTTGAAACTATTGTTGATAATTAACAAGGTTAACAAATATGAATATCTACTTACAATATTGAAACTTACGGTTTCAAACATATTGAATTTCTGAGTTGATAGTGGAATGAGATATAAAACTCATTCATTCCATGTCGATATTGTCATTTGGATTGCAGGATGGTTCTTGTTACTTTATTTTCTATAAGCTGTTGAAGGATTAAATGAAACTTTCATAATGAAGCTGTACAGCAACTGTTAATTTAAAAGTCAAGCTTAGACGCTCAAAAGGAAATAAAAATCCTGAAGACAAATTGTGATAAAAAATAAATGAAAGGACCACCCACCACTAAATATGGCCAAAACGCACCATACAGACCTACGCTTGAGGATAAGCAAATATAATGAACAGAAATGACCAAAATACCATTTCTTACCGCAAAGTCCTTACAATAAGAAATCTGGAATGGCTTAAAAAAATTATTTTAGTGTTTTTTTATCTGTAATTTTTAATTTTAGCTGGCTATAAAACATTTTTTATTTATCAACAACGTATAATTTATGTTGTGTGTAGGGTTTTATTTTAAGAAAAACCAGGTTCATTTAATCAATTTAATGTATTTCAAAGCCTTACACGCTTCCTCTTCAGAAATATAAACATAATTAAATGATAAAGTTATGATTCTTTTTTTTATTATTGTTTCCTCCTTTTTTCTTATCATAGATGACAATTTCTATTTTAGTAGATTTTATTTTAAGGAGCGGATCGAAGTCACGATAGCTCAAGTGGTAATAGCACGGCATATTGAGCCGAAGGTTGTGGGTTTGAATCCCACTCGTGACACCAACTTATTCATTTCAACCAAAACCTTAAATAAAAATGTTAATTAATTGAAAAACTTAATTTGGTCAATCAGACCACTAAATATAATGGATTTAATAAATAAAACGAAGTATAACTTCACTAACAGCTCCCTGTAGCCAGTTCATATGTCGCCGAGAATCAAAACCTGATTACACGACATTTGAAAAATAGCAAAAGGAGAGAAAATTCGCAAGAATGTAGGTTGAGATGGGATTTGGTGTCTGAGTGGATGTAAGTCACGATACTTTTTTTTTTTTCAACCAAAACCTTACATAAAGATCTTAATTAATTGAAAGAAGTGATTTGGTCAATCAGACCACTAAATATAATGGATTTACTTTAAGGGTTATTAAATGTATCAATTATCCACTGTTTACCATTTCTATAGTTGACAGTGTGCAATCTGTTTATTTTTACAGAAATTCCTTTACTATAACTAATTTTTCAGACTTTGAATAAACCTAAATGGACCCCTCCATCGTATGTTTTTGCTCCTGTCTGGACTACACTGTATGCTGGAATGGGTTTTGCTTCATATCTGGTTTGGCGTGACGGAGGAGGATTTAACGGTGTGGCCAAAATGCCACTTATGCTCTATGCTACCCAACTAGCATTGAACTGGATGTGGACACCAATATTTTTCTCTTATCATTCAATAAAATGGGTAAAACACAGAGAAAAAAAGTTAAATTAGAATGTATAATATATTTTTTTTTTCAGGGACTTTTTGATGTAGGACTGCTGAGCGTGACCGCAGGTTGTTGCGCTGTTGCTTTCCATAAAGTTAACCAATCTGCTGGTTTACTCATGCTTCCATATCTAGGATGGTTGGGCGTTGCAACATCTCTTAATTATTACATTTTTCAACATAATGAAATTGAATCTAAAAAAGAGGAAGAGTAAGTTTTCCACAAAGTTTAACAATTAGCAATGATAATCATGCTCAAAGTTCAAAGGATGATGCACTAATTTATAAAAAGTGAGTTAAAATTGTACATTAAAATAAATAAAGCTTGTGTTCAAATTAGTTAAAATAGCAATTTTATATTAGTTTAATTCCACATGTATTCATATCCTGCAATTTTTACAAACATTCCCCTGCTGCATATTTGATGCTAGGTAACAGCATGCTTTCAACCATAGAATATAAAGAAAATTTTCAGCAACTCAAGGAAACCATGCAGATCGAGGAAAAAGAGAAAAAATGGGTTTTTAAATAAAGCCAAATTTCCTTTAACAACAACTTGTATTACCAACAATTCCTATAAATAAATTATTAAATTTACATTATCTGATATATTATGCTAAATTCTAATTAAACTGAACAAATGTTTAACCAATTCTTTTCTTTTTACCCCCCTATACAGCAGAGTTATTTATCATTGATAAGTATATATTTTAATATTTTTAAATTTATGGTTAAGATACACACGTAATATTCTATTTGCTTTTCATCTTTTTATTTTTGAATCTTATTGAACTGCATATGTTTTCTGTGTGTGTGTTTTTTTTAAACTATAACGTTAGTCACCATGTGTTTTATTATAAGGCAGTTAGTATTATTAAAGTAATTGCAATTAACTTTCTATAATTACAACAATGGATTTGTGTATGTATAACAAAAGCTTTCTAAATATTTTATTCAACTTGTCATAAAATGATTATTAATAACAATATTCTCCTTACAAACTAACGCGTATAGCTAACAATTAATTCTAAGTGTTTAAGGTCCATTTTTTAAATTTCATTTTTAACAACATTATAATTTTTTTTTTAATTTTATTAAAAGCAACTCATTTTTTATATTTTTATGTGGACAGCTATTTTATAGCAACACACCTAACAACCCCTAAATGTGAACATGTTTATATTTTTAATTTTAATAGCTATACAATAATTTTTAAAAGTGAATGGATACCTTTTTCTTTTATTCTAAAGGTAGGACCTTCTTACTGAAAATACCCATTATCTCTAATAACTGTCGACCAACTGACAGTCAAATACCCCCTGAGATGGACACTAAGTGATGCCTACTTGTACCACAAAAACTAACCAAACCGGAAAATTTTAAAAATAAAATTTCAAACATCTAAATTCACGTTTTTTCTTCTTGTATATACACTATACATAATTAAAAGAGTTTCTACTTTATAATATTCTTGGTATTTAAGAGAAAGCAGCCTGCATAATAAGGGGTTTGAAAGAGTTTAAAAATCAGTACTTGTCATGAAATAATTTTTTTTTACCGTTTTACGATAATTAAAAGTTAGCTCAGAACAGGCAGACATAGAGCATAAAAAAATGCAAATTATCTAGTTAACAACAAAGAGAGTAGTAAAAAATTGGTCGTATTCAGTTTAATGATAACTCTTTTTACCAATTTAAAATCAATGTTAAGAACAGTTTCACCTGGTCTGTACTTTAACCGCATGTGGTACCCCAAGCATATAGCATCTAACCAATTCCTAACAAGGTATTTAAGCTACTTTCTTTTTTTTTTCCTTTTTTTTAGATTTATAATAACATTTAACAACATTTAAGTTAAGCACAGAGAGAAAGAAACACAACAGAGAAAAGTAGAAACATCTATGGCATGCTCAAGGGTATATAGTGATAACTTCATAGCTTAATAGATGATTTTTCATTAAACTTTTGCAATAAATAAAAAAATCCTATGGCCATAACTAAAAGATTATATTGGCCTTTAATCAAGTATATAAATAGAATAATAAATATATTGCATTTTTATATTTTTAATTGAAATTATATAATTGACTGGAATATTGGAAATAGCCTAGTGATATTTTTAATGATAATGAACTTAACTATGAAACGTACAAATTATATACAAAATGAAACTTTTACTTATTAAATAAACAATATTAACCAATTGTTAATGGTGTTAATAAATTGTTAGAAACATTATAAGGTTAGTAAAATAAAACAAAAATAAAATCCACTGTCTCATAAATAGATCTTTATGAACTAATAATAAATTTTAACTTAAGGTTAAAACAACTTAACATTTTAATATTTTGAGAAAAGAATGATAGATTAAAATACTAGACAGTGGCACACATTGATCCAACATTGAGACATCAAGAGACATAGAACTTTGTATCAGTAACAAGACAGAAGGGAAGAGACAAGATAGAGACAACATTCAAAGCGAAGCCACATCTAAAAGATTAGAGAAGAAAGTCAAGGAGATATTAGAGAATGCAATATAATAGAGAAAGATTTTCGAATAGGCCTATAGAAATTGTAAAGAGACCAAAATTATTTTTGCACTTTAAAACTGGTATCACAATGTTTTTGACTTCTGGACTATTCTTCAAAGCCCACTTTTACTTTTTTAAAGGAGGGGAACAAGGAGGGGGGACTTGTAAAAAGGTTGGAACAACACTTTATTATAATCTCATTCAACAATTAAAATATACTTTTTTGAGATTTGGTAATTAAAAAATGTATTATTTAAATATACTCTTCTATTATTAAATCATTAATTTAAAATTGTAATTAGCCACAGAAAGAAAATTATTAAAACGGGGAAGTGCACTCACTACACACATTATGTACATTTGGAGACAGTAAAATCCTACATTTATCAAAAGGTTTCAGACAAAAAGACGTGTTCAACAAATTTAACAAATATCGTTCTTCTGCCCGATCCCTTTTGTATTATTTTCATGTTATTTTTTTGCAATGCTTATTTTCAAAACTATTAAAACAATGTGGATTAAAATCTTCCTAACAATTATATACATACAGCTATAGATTACTTAAAGATCATCATGTAGATGCAAGTAAGTTTATTAAAATCTATATAATTTAACATGGGTAATCCAAAACAAACAAAAACATCCAAACCTACATGGAGACACAACAATCATACTTCTGATTCCATTAAGGCAAAGTACATGGAATGATATTAAATTTTTCCATACAAATTTTTCGGCGTGAGGGCCCCTTACTTTGAAACTTAAAAACAATGACCAAAAAACAAATACTACTTATTGAGCCTTAAATGAACTGACATCTTAAGGTTTTTATTTAAACTCTATATTTAACAAACTACCACATTTATCGTTGTACAATGACAAATCACATCTATGAAATTTGAGGTTTCCTGTATTGTACTTTTCTTAGATTTTGTTATTTGATAAAGAAATTTCTTTCAAATTCATTTTTTCTTTATATTTTTAAAGGTTTAACAATTTAAAATGTATCACAAAATTTTTTCTTGTTTAATTTTTATATCTAATTTTTTACAGGCACTCAAACTCTTGCACTCAAGGTAAATTACCATTTCATTCATATATTCTACATGGCGAAAGCTTCAACGGACTCTATTTTTTGTTTTCATTTTCTTTCTTCTTCCGGTGTTGGATACAAGATAACGCTCCACGCTCTAGTCAATCTTTGAGCATTGTTTTTTTTTCTTATTCTTTGGAAAGACAACCAATTATAAATCAAAATGATGAAAAGCTGACAAATGAATGTTTTCACATTTCAAAGTAGTTAACAATATTGAAAAATATCCAAAAATCTTCCCACCTACTTTCTTTTTTTCTTCTTTTTTTAAATATATTTTAAATATCAGTCTCTAGTTCATTGGCAGTAACTGATGTTTTAAAAAATTTCTCACCACGACTATTTTCTCAAGTTGAAAACTTGATTTCAAATTAATATTCGGCATATGAAAATTTCAGAAAAATGTCAGCTAAGTACTTAAATTTTTTTGCTAGCAGCAATTTTTCAGATTTAAAAAATATAAATCTTTCAGCTGCTTAAGGCACCAACAACATGTTTATAAATACTTAAGACCTGCAAATGTATGACTCCATTTTATAATTTTTTTTTTTATACAAAACATTTAACATTTTCTTTTTTATAACTACCCATGAGCGTGGAGCGTTTAAAATGATTTTACAGTATTACATTTTAATAAAAACAAAAAATCTTTTTTGATGTATAACAAATGCTTGTAAATAAGTCTCTTCATGTATTCAATGTTGATAATGGTGGAGTGCTCACTGAAGACTGCACCTGCTTTCTATCTGGGTCTTAATTTCATTCACTTGTGTCTCTATAGAGTTCTTCAGTTCTGAAATGACAAACAACATGAAGATTAATTATCAATTTAGGCCAACTTGGATTTTCTTGATTCCAGTTTCGAAACTATAAATGATTAAATCACTCGAAACATAGACCATCTAGAAATTAATGAAAGTACAGAGAAACCAGCATAGGACATGAATTTTAAGTTCAGTACAAGTCCAAAAATTAGATTGTTCAAATATTGACATTTTTCACTACTTAAAGTTTTACGTATATATTTTTAATTTATGGAAAAGTTAACAGTTGTAAATAAACATTCTAATCATGAAGCTAAGCCAGATGGCTGTTTTATTTTATTTTTGTCTTTTAAAATAAATGCAAGTATAATTAATTATCAAAATTTTCAAGTACAACTCAAGTTATTTTAAAAATTTACAATTTGAAATAATTTACATCTTATTGATTTTTTTCTACTTATTTACACTTGAACTCATAATTTGAGGTCTAGTGATAGTGATTATTATCAAGATCATTAAATTAAGAGTCATTATATTGACAGTTTATCCTCAATTTATGAATTAGTTTTCCATTTCAAACCAGTCTACTAATAACATATCTATCGCTAGATTTAACATATAAGGGTGAAAGAGTAATACTAAAAACAGACAATTTACATCCACAAAACTAAACTTTCAAACCTGAAAGTTTAATTGGAAAATGAGTAATATTTACTGGTTAGTCTAGTGATTTAAATTTAGGAATAATACAAAGAGTAATGGGAATAGGGTACATTTATTAAAGGATTCAGTGTGCATATGTCTACTTTACACAGACATGTCTTAATATTGTTAAAACATCAATAAATATACGATTTAATCCAAATTTGAATGAGGTGAATTTGAGGGAACAGAGAAGACAAGTTTAAACTAAATGCCATTAGTATTTAAAAAAAAAAAAGATTTGTTTAATTAACATGCAAATGAGCGACAATCATTCACCTTGAAGAACGACATAGAGAATTACTGAAAAGAAACTTGACTCCTTACCTAAAGTCAGTTAAAAAGAAAGATCTAAAATTTTGAACAAGGATAAGTATCCTAAACAGAGATACTTCTCTGTTCATAATTTGAGAGAAAATAAAAAACAACAAGATAAATAAATGAAAAAGCGTCCCATTGTAAATTGTGATTCATAGAAATAAACAGATTTTTAGTATTAGTTAGTTGATGATAACAGAAAGTAGATCCCGCATGCCAGAAGAATTGAAGTTTGAAGAGAGCAGAGGAAAGACAAGGCAATAGACAATCTTTCTTGGTTTTTAGGCAGATAACAAATTTTCATTTTACCTTTCCGGTGTGTTTGTGAGAGTGGAATTTGTGCAGATAATTTTTGAAGGGATGAAGATTTTTCTAAAACCCACATCTTAATAAACAAGGACACCACCGGTCTAGAAAATTACAGAACACAAAAGTACAAAATAAAAAAATTAAAACAAATCAAATTAAAATAAACTGTTTCAGAAAATAAACAAATTAAACAAAAAATAAATAAATAAATAAAATAATAATATAAAATGATAAAAAGAAGATGAAGTAGAGAGAGTAATAGAGTATTACAATAAGGGTATGAATGCTAATCACAACATCAAGTACAAAGACGAAGAAGCAAAAGTCTGCCAATCCTCGTCATTATAAATCACAACATCGAATACACAAATGCATATTTATATATATAAAAAAACTGTGCTCTTTTGTTTTTTTATTTTACCTTGTATCACTGTGGCAAGCATTCAAAAAATTACATGAGTATACTCTGTGCAGCTCACAATAAAAGGCAGTATTAACAGAAATAATAAACAAAATAAAAAAAATAAATTGAAAGAAAAATAGATGCAATCAAATGCAAAGTAGAATCTATAAATTGTATGCGTGTTAGCAGTATGCGGTAATTACAATTTCCTATGTTTTTTGAAGTTCCTGCAGTAGATAATCTATTTTCTGTTTAGAATAGCTTTATTGTTGGTGAACAAACAAAGTAAAATATTGCATGTTATTTGATTGACCTTATGTTAGTGGGATTTTTTTAAAATAAAACCTTTAATTACACTTGATTTTTAAACAAAAGGCACTTATAAAACAGTGCAAAACACCAAGTTCTATACTCTACTTCTGTGCCTTTTATGTCAATGGTTGTGAAATTTAATTTCAGTGCTTTCTTACTGCTGGATGTATACTGGGGGTCGAATAGGACCAATTAATTATTTGGATAATAAAATAAATGCACTTTTAAAACAATTAAAATAAAAAAATGACATGAGTTTGCTTTGCAAATCAGCTATTATTCTATACTATTTATGCATAATGCTTAATAGCCCATTATTGGAATAAGGAGGATGCTGATCAATTAAAAAAAAGTAATCTCAATCAATTTCACTGTTTTTACTACATTTTTAAAATGGAAACGAGCTAAAATTATGCAGTGTTATATGCTAAATGTATGGGCCACAGTGGCCGAATGGTTAGGGCGTCCGAATTGTATTTTGCCACTCTAGTGGTTCCCGATTCAATTCCAGGCACATCCCATGTAATTTTAATTTATAATAATATGTGAAACGAATTGCAAAGTGGTTTGACCTCTCATCCATGACACATAATGTTGGAATGCTACTATAGTTGCATCCTGTTTTATTCAACAGAGGAGCTTAAGCTAAAAATGCATAAATACATGTTTTTGCTACATGCACTGGCAGGATTTTCAGAAATGCCGTCAAAATGGCAAAAATAATGTTAAAAAAAGAAAATAATAAAAAAAGTTATGATAAATTCATTGCAAGAAACAAGCTTTGCAACCACTTGCCACGTCGTTTTTCACTTTTCTATAAAAAATCTCTATTAACACATTTGACCCAAAAAACAGGATAAAATTAACAACTTTATTATTTAAACAGATTTGAATTGTAATTAATAAAAAACTTTTTTGTTTTAAACATTATCCCTATAAACAGATGGATTATGGAAAAGGTGGGAAGGTCATTAAACGAAGGATGATAAAAATGATGTTAGGATAGAGGCAACTTACTTGTGAACTCGTCTTGTTCTTCTGCTTCCGCTTCACGTGCCAGCTCCTCAGGCGTCTTCTTCTTCCTCATCAAAGGATTTGCTGGTTCTTCAGGAGGCTGTTCAATCACTTCTTCCTTCTTCTTAATATTATACTGCAACAAACAGCCGATTTGTAATTGTTGTTTAGAACTAAATTCACTAATTTTGTGGTCCACTTGACCAATTAATACATTACAATTAATTAAGGTTTTTAGTTGAGATAAAAAAGTCAATGGCACGAGCGGAATTCGAAAAATGGCAAAAAGGAGGGAAAACTCAAAAGGTGGGGTTGAGATGGGAAGTTGGTGTCCGAGTGGATCGAGGTCACGATAGCTCAAGTGGTAGAGCAGCGGCGTATCAAGCCGAAGATCGTGGTTCGAATCCCGCTCGTGCCATTGACTTTTTTATTTCAACTAAAAACCTTAATTAGTTGTTTAGAACATTTGAACAATAAATAAAAAATTCACGCTTGACAAACTTCAGGAGGAGAAAATCATGCAAACTCTAATTTATGTTGCTAAACTTCATAGTAAGTTAACAATGAAGATCTAAGTAAATAAAAATAAAACAAAGCCTTATATTTTTTTTATATCTTCCACAATTTTTTGCCCTTTGTTCCTTTATTGATTAATTGTGATAACAGTGATAATATAATATTTAGATGTGTACGTTTTTCACACGTTCAAAATTGAGTGGCATTAAAAAAACAGTTCATTTGCTTGTTCACCCTTACAATTCATGTTGAACCTGTTTGTAACTACTTCAATCTAAGGATGAGTGTTTAATACTTGAAATGCAGTTGTTGCAAACAACAAATCTGTGAGTAGAACCATCATTTAAAAAAAGTAAATCTATAGCTTTTTCAGTAAAATTAATAATTTTTCCAACTAATTTAATAATTGTTTCACCCAATTTAATAATTGCCTCAACTAATTTAAAATTTTCCCTTTCGAGATTTTATAGTCGGGGAGAAAATAAATACGAGCTAGAAGTTCTGCAAACCTTCATTTAAATTTCAAAAAGTAAAATCATTAAATCAAAAAATGTAAATATTTGAAAAATGTTAACCGATCACTGCTAACTCTTTGGCGACTTTTTATGTGAGGTTTCTTTATGTAATGCATAATTATGGACAATATTACAATTAATTAAGGTTTTTAGTTGAGATAAAAAAGTCAATGGCACGAGCGGGATTCGAACCCACGATCTTCGGCTAGATACGCCGCTGCTCTCCCACTTGAGCTATCGTGACCTCGATCCATTCGGACATCAACTTCCCATCTCAACCCCGCCTTTTGAATTTAATATCCTTTTTGGCTAATTTCGTGGTCCGCAGTGAATTTAATGAATTAAAATGAAGTATACTTCACTAAAGCTCTCCTTAGCCATTTTCATTTGTCGCCGAGAATCCAATCCGATTACACAACATTTGAAAAATGGCAAAAAGGAGGGAAAATTCAAAAGGTGGGGTTGAGATGGGAAGTTAGTGTTCGAGTGGATCGAGGTCACGATAGCTTAAGTGGTAGAGCATCGGCGTATCTAGCCGAAGATCGTGGGTTTGAATCCCGCTCGTGCCATTGACTTTTTTATCACAACTAAAAACCTTAATTAATTGTAATATATTAATTGGTCCAGCGGACCACAAAATTAGTGAATTATGGACAATACAGGATCCACACAACATCTGTAGTTAAGAGGTTGTGGAATCATTTTCTCATACGATAATTTTCCTGCCGCCTTACTCACCAACACTAAACCCTGCAGAGTATGTGTTCTTCTAGATTAAGACAGCTGTGAGGACCCTGTTGGCTGAAGCCAAAGGAACTCACAACTCTTGAAATAATAAGCTGCAGTATCAGTTCCATTTCGGGCACCAACTTCTCCAATTATGTAATGGATGTCCTTTTAAAGCTGCCAACCACTGGCATTGGACTGCCGCCACTCCATTAATTTTTGTTGAAATTATCATTTTTTCAAATATTTTTATTTTTTTGATGAAATAATTTTACTTTTTAGAAATTTAAATTAAGGTTTTCGCAAGTACTAGCTAATATTTATTTTCTCCCTGGCTATAAAATCTCGAAAATTATTAATTTAGTTAATGCGATTATTAAATTGAATAAGACAATTATTAACTGAATGAGATGATTATTAAATTGGTTGGAAAAATTATTAATTTAACTAAAAAATGCTATATGAACTCACCCCACTAATCATCATTTCTATTAGCTTGCTGGACAAATTTATTGGATTATAACACAATTAACAACACTTCCTCCACTTATTTAAAATCCTCCAGTAAACAAGAACTTTTAAAACTTTATTATAAATTAAGACTTTTATGCTCTAAAATCAACAAATCAATCTAGTGCATTTCCCACTCTTTTAAATTAAACCTAACCCCAAAATTCGTTTTTGCTAAATTAAATAAAAATAATTTTTCAACTCTCTTATACTAAAATGCCTTAAAACAATATTAAAAAATGAATTAAATAAATTATATAGTCAGAGAGATACAAAACATTTTTACCAATATCTACTTCACACTAGGCTTGATTCATTATTATATCCATTAGATGAGGATAAATTCGGTTATGATAAATGATCAAAAGTTAAAAGTTTCATTGATAAAAACCAAAATAGCATGGATAAAAAAATGAAAAACATGAAGTACGAGTCACTTAAAAATACTCATAAAAGCCAAACAAAACCAATTAAATTTTACCCAAAGGTTATAAACATAATAAACATGGAAGAAGGAATAAACATGGAACAGAATAAACATTAAGAAGAAAACAATTTATTAAATAATGGCTTAAAACTTGTCCTAAAACCAGAGCTAGATACACCAAAACTACTATCCCTTGGTTCAATCAGTTGATTGTAGTAAAATAAATACAAATATAATATATTAAAGTGCTGAAGTAATTGAACCAAACTTGATAAATTTAAACGTCAAAGAATTAAATATCCAACTTACAATTAGGTCTATTGATAAAAAGTTAAAAAGTAAAAACAACGTTATTTTAAATGCAGATAAAGGAAATAGTATAGTACTCAATGAACACCAAAATAGTTTCTAAAGTTAAAGAATTCCTAAACCACAACGATTATAAGGAAAAAACCCCACCTTAGAATTAAAAACTTCAAACAGCTATAAAAAAAAGACTGACTTTCTATTCTCATATGACCAATATGCAGTTAAAAAAACAAAGAAACTGAAGCGAAGATGGTGACTTCCTAATCAATATTACAATATTTAACAATTGAGAAAAGCTGGGAGAGCAATGGTTACTGGCTATCCTCGTGATATAACATTATCAAATGAGACAAATATTGTAGCTCATTACAATGTATGTAGGTTGTAAAGATTTTAATTAAAAAAAAGATTAATACATTAATTCAGAAAGAAAACACAATATGTAGTTATTTATGTCACAAACCTTCAAAATCGTGTTAAAATTTAGGATATAAAATTAAAAACTAACACTGCATAACTATTTTTTTTATTGAACAAATTTCTTTTCCAAATTAATAGTTAATAGAAGCTGGTAAGATTTGGTGGTGCTTCTTTTTAACTTGGCTCTGTTGGACCTTTCGGCCGTTAGAGGGCTACTTTCCTTGAAGTTCATAAAGTGCCTTCAGGTGAAAACATCTCTCTTCGCTAATTATGGCTTTCCTTCAAACTTTATGGTCTCTTAGCCGGTCGTAAACTCCGAGAGCGGATTGATGACTCCTAGTCGCTGAAGGCTAAAACAGCAGCTCACGCCTGGCGTACTCCTAACTTCTTTCCAACTTCTTTATGACGCGATATCAAATTTTCTTTGTCTTCCGCACTTTTGTTCCTGGAAATGTGAGATTCCTATGGTGCTGGTGCTCAATGTGGATCAATATGACTCCATTAGGGAGTCGATATTAGAAAGACTCCCTACTAGAGTCAATTTGAACCCCAAATAAGCTTTCATCTCCTCGTCGACTCTTCTACCTAAAAAATTCAAAGGAAAACAACGACCAGCAATATAAACAACGCATTGTCTTCCACCAAATGTTTTTAACAACATACTTGAACTTAAATATTATGCGTTTAAAATATTATGAACAATATATATTATAATATGCGTTGGGTTTGCTAAAAAAATACACTTAAAGTTTTCATAAGTGATTAACAAGTTACTTCTTTAATTTTGGTCAGATTTAGTGGATCTCGGAAACACGAGGCAAAAAATATGTCAGTTTGTATTGCAGACATGTAATTTAGTCGTAACTGATCATTTTGGTTTGATTAATCATTGCTGGGCTGACCTGTCAGACACTTTTCGGCATTTCGCCGTTTTCATTGTTTCATTGAGTAATTTCTGTGAAGCAAATCTCTTTTATAAAGTTGGGTGGGGTGCGTTTGTCGGCCGATTCACGCTATCCGGAATGTCAACGGAATGTCAAGCATCGGTAGTCAACATTACCGTTAAAATTTATTAAATGACATAATATAAATGATGACGATTTTGACTGATTCTGAGGTCATGCGTAATTTCTCGTGGTGAACATTTTCCTAACCCACGACTTCCGATTTTGTCATTTTCTTAAATCAAAATCAAAGCGATCACCGCTAGTCTCTTTATACTGAAAGATGGCAGGATGATCAATATTAAATTTGACTTTTATGGTTCTCTACTGATTACAAGAGTTAACAGCGTCCTCAGCGAACAATTATGACGTGAGACGTCACGTCAAAATTATTCGCTGAGGACGCTGTTTTTTTTTCTTTTTAATTGGTCTTGTGCTGTGAAATAACAACGCAGACAACAGGGAGAATGAACGATGGTTTTTATAAAATGAGAGAATAGAGGTAGTAAAAGAGTACAAATATTTAGGTGTAACGTTGACTCCTCCACTTTCCTTCAATATGCATTTGGCCAATAAACTTAGGGTTGCTAAACAAGGATTGAATATAACCTGGAACGGTATTCTCAATAGAGGAGATGTTCCTCTAAAAAGTAAATTTAAAGTTTTTAATTCCGTCTCTAGGGCTGTGATGTGTTATGCGTCACAAGTATGGGGCTACCATCAGTATGAAGTGGTAGAAAAAAAATAGGTCAATTATTATATTTAAATT